GGATGCCTGGGGGGGGACAGGGGAATTTAATCAGAATTTGATTCATTATTAATATCGACCCAGGGCGGAGCTGCGGTTGGCTACATTGCTCCATAATAAATAACTCTAATAATAAATAAAAGACAAAAAAATGAGCAAATTAAAAATGTTGCAATAAAAGAAAGATATTTATAAAAAGAAAGGATGTTAAAGTACTGACCGGTGGGGTCCTCGATGGTCAGGATCTCAGTGGGCTCGCTGGGGTGTCCGGTGCCCCCCTCGTTCTCCGCGCTGACCTGGAACTGGACCTCAGTTCCCTCGATGACGTCCGTGACCCGGTACTTACAGTCCGGACCCGACGTCTTCCCGCACTTCACCCAGCGAGTGCCCAGCTTCTCCTTCTTCTCCAACGAGTATCTGAAGGAAGAGGACACAGTCATTACTGCTGGATCGGCTTTTCAAGGTTTCAAATGTGGAAGTTCAAACATGTTAAAGGAATCGTACTTGAGGATTGGTCTTCCTCCGTCGTTCTTGGGCTCCTCCCACTGCAGGTCCACGTATCTCTTGGAGATGCCGAAGACGCTGAGAGCGTAGGGTGGGCCGGGAGCAGCTGCAGAACAATTATAAAATAAAGATTATTATTATCATCTCCGTCCTGAACAAGATACCTCCTCTGCTCCAAACTCTCTCTGTGACTCACAGAAGTTGTCCTTGGCCATGACGGAGTCTTTGAGCTCGCAGAACTCTCCGACTCCGACGCTGTTCTCTGCAGCGACGCGGAACACGTAGAGCGAGCCCTCGTTGAGCGGAGACACGGTGTACGTCAGCTCCTTCACTGTGGTGTCCACCGCCTGCCAGCCTTTACGCCTGGCGTCCCTCTTCTCCACCACGTAGTTAGTGATGGGGGCGCCGCCAGTCCTCTCCGGCAGAGACCACTTCAGATCAGCGCTGCTGCGGGTGACGCTCATCACATCCAGCCAGCGGGGTGCCGAGGGGGGGTCTGAGGAGGAGCGGGGGGAGTTTAATGAGTGCATTTAATTTAAGGTACAACAACCTGAGTTAAGTTTAACTTAAACCTTAGTTTAGATTCTCACTGAGTCTCTCCTTGCAGAGTTAAACCTGACTTGAGTTGAACTTAAACCTGACTTTAGTGTCTCTCACTGAGTCTCTCCTTGCAGAGTTAAACCTGACTTGAGTTGAACTTAAACCTGACTTTAGTGTCTCTCA